ACCTGAGCCGTCCGCTGGTCCCTGACCTTGGGTACAGTGACTCAGCCTTTGGGAGCCTCCTTTCTTCCCTGCAAACAAGTCTTTAGGGAGAAGGTCAGAGCACGCACACATGACGGATCCTGGTAAGTGGCTGCAGTGGCCAGTATAGAACTGATACCCTCCTAGCAGACACAGGATTCAGGATCAAATACAGTCCGGGTGACACCCAGCCAGACATAGGCTGAGGCCAGTGCTATAGCAATACAACACAATACCAAACATAGCATGAACTCTGTACAAACACTAGTGCTACAGCAGATTCAGCACAGTGCCTACAGCACAAAACCAAACACGACACAAACACCAACACAGTACCAAACATGACACCATGTCGGGAATTGTACTTATGCCAGTAAGGGGCATTCATGGCATTAAAGAGTGTGGACAGCAGAAGCTGGAAACATGGGCCTCTCAGGGAGCATGTTGAGTGAGAACAAGGACCGGGACCTGGTGGAGCTGAGGACAGGCCCTGACCTTGTTCTGTGGAGAGGGATATCCACCAAGGGCCATCACAGGGGCCCAGAGGGTCCCCACAGGATTTCACTTTGCTGCTAGGAAACTGAGGCCTGTGGAGGGGGGATGCATAAAGCCCAGGCAGTGCAGTATCCAGCTGGTGGAGGGAGGGTGGGTCACTGTGGCGGGCCGGGGCTGAGGGAGCCTCTGCAGCAAGGGGAGGAAGCCGTAAGCAATGACCTCATCCCCCAGGCCTCCGCCCCAGCACACGGTTCCCAACCACAGGCATCGCAGGACAATTCCCTGGTATGCTCGCTACCAGAAGGCACAGGGCGTGCACGTTTGTATTGTGCTTTTCAGTGCTCCTTGCTTTGTGCAGGATTTGAAACATTTTTTTAAAAGCTGCGATTACAGAGACAAAAACCAGCCCTTCACCTGGGCCAGGGCAGAATTTCTTACTACAGGGAAAGGGGGGAGAGTTTGTGCTGACAGTCCGTTTGGGAGCAAAACAGAGTTCCCAAAGGAGAATTTGGTCACATGGGCGCACACGTATACCCGTGTACGGCAGACACGTAAACACACGCACAGTGATCTCCTGAACAGGACACTATGTGCACATGTGTGTATACTACATCTACACAAACACAGGAACACATGCAGCCTCTGGATTTCAGAAACCAGGTTAGGACTCCCTCCCTGGGAAGTCACAACTGGGTCTCAGGGCCCCGCAGACCTCAAAGGCGCCTGTTCCAAGAACAGGGCCAGACCTGGCTGAGATGAGATTCTTGCTAAAATGGCTTTTTCAGGCCCACCAAATATCCCTGTTTCAGCAGAATGCTTAATCCCTCTGAAGCCGCCCTGGGGCTTCCTTAACCCCGGCTGAGATAACAGCTTCCTGGCACCAGAAGCCAGGCGCAGCCCAAGAAGGAAAAACACTGGGTCCCAGGGACACGTCCTCAAGAAGCTGTTTTTCCCCATCTGCACATCATGCTCTCCGAACCCGCGCAGCACTCACACTGGGCCCCTGTGGGGCGCCCGCTGCTGTGGTTAGGGCTCTCGTTCTCCCCAGGAGCTGCATGTGACAAGAGCGCCTCCTGGTGGTCCATGGCCAGTGGAGGCTGCCTTGAGAACTCCGCCAGCCTTTACTCCTGAAGCCCACCATGCCACCCCACCCGCTGCCCCCTTGCTGGATCTGGGGCCTGAAAGCCCTAACTATGACTATTACTTCTTTTTCTTCTTTTCTATTTTTGATTTTGGAGACAGGGTCTCACTACATAGTCCAGGCTGGCCTCAGAATTGCAGTGATTCCCCTGCCTCAGCCTCCCAAGTATACACCATCACACCTGGTGAGATCCCAACTTACTTTTGCCCACTGAGGGTCCTGTGCTTGTCAGCCCTGGAGAACATGAGTGGCGGGATCTCTGCCTGCCTGGCCCCAGAACAGTGTGGCTCCTTCTCACCCTGGGGAAGCCTTCACTGTTCTGCAGGCCCCCACACCTCCCTCCCAGTCTGCCATCATGGATGAGTCCACAGCTGCCTTATTCCTGCTGTCCCCAGTGCCATCTGTGGCTATGACTATGGAGTAAGTGGCTGGACACAGTGAATTCAGACCCACCTGGGAGGAACAACCTCCCCAAACATGGTAACATAGCAGGAAAGGCAGGTCTGAGGCCTTCTCCGACCCCATTTTACAGGCGGGAAAACTGAGGCCCAGGATCACACAGCAACTTGGGGTGTCCTGGTGGGGCAGCTCTGATAGTTGGGCTTAAAGGAGGAATGCCCAAACCTAGAAACACCATTCAGGGCAGGCAGGGTGTGTGTGGATGCAGTGAGGTCTGCCCCCGAGAAGTGTGGGGTGATATCAGGAAAACGTGTGCCCCACCTGTAGAGCCCCACCCTCAAACTGTTGAGAAAAAAGTGGGTTTCTGGGAGGGAGGGCGTACGGGAGCTGACCAGAAGCCAGCCTTATAAGAGGCCAGAGAAACAGCCAGGTGGTGGCAAGCTGGGAGGGAGAGAGGGAGAGAGAGGTGATGGCAGAGTCTGGAGGGATTTGTGCCTGAATGCCTGGCACTTTGAGGGCCACAAAAGAGAAGTTGGAGTTTATCCCAGTACCACAAGGATCTCCTGGAATGATGTGATTTTTGTTTTAGAAAGTGTCTCCCTGGCTGTTTGTGTGGGAAGGGTGCTTAGCAAGCTGAGAAGGAGACAAAGGAGATGAAGGAGGCAGAGTTGCTGCCCTCACAGGGTAATAAAGGGCCGTTTCTTGGGATGCATTTGAGGGGTGAGGGAGTTTCACCTAGGGCCAAGAGCTGCTCCACTGGCACTTGCAGCCCCAGGCAGGGAAGCCTCTGTGGGACCCTGAGAGCTGTCCTGACACCAACCACCAGGTGGCACGAGGACCCCAGAGATGCAGGGCTGAGTGAGAGAGAACACCATGTGGCGGTAGGAGCTTTTGGAGGGAGTGACAGCCACCTCAGATCCAAGCTAGCACATGAGGAGCAGAACAGGCATGACACACAGCCACACTGGTGAACACATGTAGACACAGTGACGTGTGAAAACATGTATCCACACATAAACATACACATGCACTCAGTTACATATATACTTGCATGTATACATGGTCACATATACACATTCCCACACACACGAGCACACATACGTGCACAGATGTGCACATGGGCACCCCCCAGGGGAATACTCTGGCAGCTGATCCTGGGAACCACAGGGCACCCTCAGCCCCAGGCCAGGGTCCCCACAGACCTGGCCTCCACGGAGGAACCAGAAAAAGAAGGTCTGGCCTGCTCCTCTCACAGCAGACACATCCCCAGGCACCAGCCAGTGCATGATGTCCCCTCTCAGGAGACACAGCCAGCAACCTGGCAATCATCAGAGAGTCGGATCTGTGAGTGGGGGACATGCTGACCCTGGAGAGGTGCTGTGGGGATACCATGGTACACGCAACCTCTGCCTCCCTGAGCAGGAAAGAAAATGATGGCCCTGACTTGGCAAAGATGATGCTGAGAGGACCCACAGAGCCTCTTCCTGTTGTGCACAAAAGACACTGAACACCAAAAAGATATGTGGGTGTGGTCTGACAGGATAGGAAATGTCAGGGTACTAGGACCAAGACAGTTATCCCAGGAAAAAAGGTAGGACGGTCATGACATGCAGGGGAGATGCTGGGTAGGATGTGACATCATCACATCAAAACCACACAGATCTGGGCTTGGACCACAGTTCCCACACATGAAAACACAATCCTGTGCCCAGCAGCCAGGATGTTCTTTCCAGAAAAGCATGAGGCTGACCTGCCCTTAAAACCAAGTGTCTATAGGTATTGGATGTCACCTGTCCAGCACACTCAGCAAAGGGGAAGTGACCGCATGTGCTGACAGAGATCCTTCTTGGGCACTCAGAGAGCCTGTGATCAGGCCACTCTGCAAGGTGGGAGGTGGAAAATTGGATTGCCAGCCTTGTTCTACCTGGTAATCCCCAAGGATGAGAGGAAGAAACACAAAAGGCACAGGCAGAATGATGCTGGCCTCAGCCCTGCCAGGGCCCTGCCTGCCTGAATCACACTCTGGCAGTTCCCCCGTAGACCCTGTGTTCCCCAGACATGCTGGTTCTCTGCACCCCTTTTCAACAGCCTCACAGCCACCCATGTTAGCGTTGGGTTTCCTACTGGCCTGTGAGCTGCACAGGGCAGGGATGCTCTCTGTTTTGTCACCAGCATAGTGGTGAGTTGCGGTTTCATTCACCCTCATGGTTACTGGCCCAGGCTCTCAGCCTCCTTGCCAGAGTGGGCCCCATCCTTGGTTGTATGAGACCCAGGGATCTTTCCTAGGGCCTGTCTCAGGGGCTCACAGCCAGCTGGGAAAACAGTTAAACCCCACTCTCAGCTGTAGAGGCAGGGGGCCAGAGCAAGGGACAATTGGGGATTTCAGTCCTCAAATGGACTGCACACTCAAGGGCCAGGGACGCAGTACAGGGTGGCCTGTCCAAGCCTCACTCACAGGGAGGGAAGTGCCCAGGGCTGTGCACTGAGGCAGGCATGCCCCAGGCTGGGGGTCCTGTAGGATGATGCTGCAAGATGTGACACTAGTCTGGGTGCCTCCTGGGATGATGGAGGACCCTCCAGGCCATGGTGTGGGTGACAGAGTTGGGACACCTGCGGGGTCCATTTGCCAGTGATAACACAAGCAGGAGTCACTTTGCCCCAGGACCCTACCTGCACCCCAGCTCCACCATCCTTCCTCTCCTCCCTTCCACACCAGCCCAAAAGACCCCCCTCAGAAAGTCCTCCAGGGTCACAAGCTCCAGGCCCCTCCCACTCCTTGGCTTCCTCATCTGCCACAAGCTGGGCCTGAGTGGCCTGGCAGGTGTGGAGCTGGGGAGGTGCCCACACCTCTAGCCCAGCTCCAGGCAAGGCTGGTGAGAGGGTGGGGCAGCCCCGCTCCAACTTAGGGTAGCTGTGACACTAGTTACAACCCCAAGCACCTACATACCATCCAGAAGAGGGTCCCAGTGGCCAGAGCTGCATACTGCTCGATGGTGGACAGCACACTGAAGATGAGGCAGGCCAGGACGATAAGGAAGCTGTAAGACAGGAGGTGATAGAGGTCAGCATCCTGGCTGCCTATCCATCTCAAGTCACAGCTGAGGACAGCTCCCACCCTGAGGCACCCCCCAGGCATAAGATCTTAAAGCTGCCAAAATCCCATTGCTGGTGAGTAGACACTCAGTTGTGAGGTCCACAGGATGAAGGCTGTCCAGGCATCACAAGGAAGGGCCCCCCAAAATACGGTACTGCATTGCCAGACCCCTATTGCCACCTACTGTGTGACTGTGTCCCAACAGGGAAATCCACAGGAGCGGAAGGCAGCTGGAGGATCACAGGGTGTGAAGGTCCAGAGTCTTCCTTGTTGTGACTACACATTTTGACTCAGATGTGGAGGTATGCACTTCACACAAGGGAACCTTGGTGTGTGATTATATCTCAATAAAGCTGTTTTAATAAATTGCTTCCAGAGGAGCCCCTCCTGAATGTAGGCGTTCAGGGCCAGGGCAGGTGCTAGGGACTTAGCAGCCTTGGAGCTCATCAGAGGAAGCAGAGAGAAGGGGCTAGTGCCCAGGCTGGCCCATATCCCATGGACATACAGAAAACACTGACACACTGCTCTGATTATAAGGAACCCGTGAAGATAAGGAGCATGATCCTTCAGAGCCTCTTGTCCCTCTTCGGCTGGGCTCAGCGTTCGTGGGCATGATCAGGCCAACATGGCCCTGTCCCTTCTCCTGCCTGAAGGACAGCACAGACCCTCTGCCCAGTGCTTGGAGCCTAGGTCTCTCCTCTCCTTGAGAGCCTGCAGTGGCTTTCAGCCCCACTCCCACCTTGCACAACTTCCCCACAGCAGCCAGGACAGCTCCATCTGTGTAGCCACGTCCCAAACTATTTTCTTTCTTTTTTTTTTCATTTAGTTTATTGGTACATTTTAGGTATACAATACAGTTACATTCACCATTGGGATCTTGTACCTGTACATGATGCATCTTGGTTCTTATTCTTTCCCCATTCCCCTGCTCTCCCTTCACCCCCTCCACCCTTCCCGATTTACACAGACTTTGTTTCCATGTTTTTCTTTTTCTCATATTTTTTTCTTTTTCCTTCTTTCCTTTCCCCTTTCCCTCCCACTTTAGACATTTTCTTCCTATTTCACAATATCAATTATAAACTTTGATTCTTTCCACTTTTAGTTTTTCACACCAGAGGAACTATTCAGTATTTACACGTGTATCCTATTTATTTCACTTAAGAGTATCACCTCAATGGCAACCACTTAGCTATAAATGTCTCTAGTTTCTCATTCTTTATGGCTGAGTAGTACTCCATTTTATTTTAAAAAAAAAAAAAAAAAAAGCACATCTTCTTTATCCAGTCTCCAGCTGATGAGCAATTGGGCTGTTTCCAAGTTTTAGCTATTACAAACTCTGCCACTATAAACATGGGTGAGCATATATCACTGTGGTATGATTCTTTTAATTCTTTTGGGAAGATATCCAGTAGAGGAATAGCTGGGTCAAATGGGACTTCCAGTCCTAGTTCTTTGAGGTATTTCCATATTGATCTCCACAGTGGTTGCACCAGTCTGCACTCCCACCAGCAGTGGAGAAGGGTTCCTTTCTCCCCACAAGCCCGCCAGCATTTGTTATTGATTTCATGATAGCAGCCATTCTTTCTGGGGTGAGGTGAAATCTCAGTGTTGTTTTCATCTGCATCTCTCAAATGACGAGTGATGTTGAACATTTTTTCCATTTTTTCATGTTTATTTGCTGCTTTTACATCTTTGTCTGAGAAATATCTGTTCATTTCAGATGCCCATTTTTGAATTGGGTCTTTATATTTGGGGGGCTCTGATGTTTTCTTAGTTCTTTATATATTCGAGATAGTAGACCTTTGTCTGAGGAGCAGCTGGTAAAATTTTTTTTCCCACATTGTAGTTGTCTCTTAGCTCTGTAGGTGGTTTCTCTTGCAGTGCAGAAGCTTTTTAAAAAGATGAGATCCCAGTTGTTGATTCTTCGTGCTAGTTCCCGTGCTACTGAGGATTTGTTCATAAAGTCCTTTCCTATGCCAAGGTCTTCGAGAGTTCTTCTACCTAACTTGTCTTCCGGCAAGTTTAGTGTTTCTGTTTTAATATTTAGATCTTTAATTCACTTTGATTTTAGTTTAGTGCATAGTGAATGATAGGGGTCTAGTTTTAATCTTTGGCAAGTTGAAATCCAGTTTTTCCAACACCATTTATTAAAGAGGCTATCTTTCCTCTAGTGAGGATGGTTGGCTCCTTTGTCAAAGAGGAGGTAGCTGAGTATGTCTGGAGTTGTTTCTGCATCTTCTAATCTATTCCCCTGATCCTCGGATCTGTTTCTTTGCCAGTACCATGCTGTTTTTATCACAGTGGCTTTGTAGTACAGTTTCAAGTTGGGAATTGTGATACCCCCTGCCATGACTCTGTTGCCTAGAATTGCTTTTGCTATTCTAGGTCTCTTCTGGTTCTAGATGAACTTTTGGATTTTTTTCTCTAAGTTCTGTGAAATATGCTGTTGGAATTTCAATTGGGATTGCATTGAATTTATATAGCAATTTTGGAAGTATAGTCATGTTCACTATATTGGTTCTTCCTACCCAGGAACAGGGGATGTCTTTTCCATTTTCTTATATCCTCTTTGATCTCTTTTTTCAGAGTGCTGTAGTTCTCAATGTAGAGGTTTTTTGCTTCCTTCGTTAGATTGATTCCTAAATATTTCATTTTTTTGGATGCTAATGTGAAAGGGATTGTTTCTCTAATTTCTCTCTCAGTGAGTCTGTTATTTGTGTACAAGGTGGCTATTGATTTTTGAATGTTGACCTTGTATCCAGCTACTCTACTGAATTTGTCAATTAAGTCTAGAAGTCTTTTGGCAGAGTTTTTTTGGTCTTCTATGTAGAGTATCATATTGCCAGCAAATAACGACAGTTTAACTTCTTCCTTTCCTATCTTTATTCCTTTTATTTCTTTCTCTTGTCTAATTGCTGTGGCTAATGTTTCCAAAACTATATTGAACAGGAGTGGTGACAGTGGACATCCTTGTCTTGTTCCTGATTTTAGCGTGAAGGTTTTCAGTTTTTGACCATTTAGTATGATGTTGGCTGTTGGTTTTTCATAGATAGCCTTTATCAAGCTGAGATAAAGACCATCTATTCCAATTTTCTGACAGTTTTTATCATGAATGGGTGTTGAATTTTGTCAAATGCTTTTCCTTCATCTATTGAGATGATCATATGTTTTTTGTCCTTGGCTCTGTTAATATAGTGTATTACATTTATTGATTTACGTATGTTGAACCATCCTTGCATCCCTGGGATAAATCCGACTTGGTCAGGGTGTATGATCTTCTTGATGACCTTCTGTATACTGTTTGCCAGTATCTTATTGAGGATTTTTGCATCTATGTTCATTAGGGAGATTGGTCTGTAGTTCTTTTTGGTTGGGTCTTTCCCTGGTTTTGAAATCAAAGTAATACTTGCTTCCAGGAATGAATTTGGAAGTATTGCTTCCCTTTCAATTTCATTGAAAAGTTAAAAGAGTAGTGGCAATAGTTTTTCTCTAAATGTTTTGAAGAATTCAGCAGTGAAGCTATCAGGACGTGGGCTTTTCTCTGTCGGTAAATTTTTAATTACATTTTCAATTTTACTGACTGTAATTGGGGTGTTTAGAATTTTTATATCTTCTTCAACTTTGGTAATTCATATGTACCTAGAAATCTGTCCATACCTTCTGTGTTTTCCATTTTATTAGAGTACAGGTTCTTGAAGTAGGTATTGATGATCCTCTGGATTTTTGCTGGATCTGTTGCGACTTCACCTCTTTCGTTCCTAATTTCAAGTATTTGAGCCTTTTCTTTCCTTTTTTTGATAAGTTGATAGCCCACTTTCTTGACCTGACTCTGAATCCCACCCTCCACTTGGCTCCCCAACCTATCCCACCCAAAGGTGAGTAAGCCCTAGACAGCATACCTCAGCATGACGACATGGTAGCTCCCTGGTCCCCCATTGCTGGTCTTGAGTGTGCCTAGCTGGGTCTGCCACAGGGTCTTGTGCTTGCCATTGCCCTGCCTGGAAGCCCTGCCCCAATCCCCTGCAGGGAGCCTTATGCAGACAGCCCACTTCTAACATCTTACCCTGTCCCCACCATAATCCCTGATGTTCAGGTATCACCACTGGGACTGGTGCCTACTGTCCACCCTTAGGTTATGAGTGCCGAAGAAGAGGTGCCTAGGACAGATCCTGGCAAAGAGTAGGTACTCAGTCTCCTCACGTGCGCACCTACATTTAATCCCCATGGCTACTGCCTGGCTCGGCACTGACCCCACACTCACCACCCACACAGGATGCTCAATTCAAAGCAGTCTGATCTTAGTCACCTCAACTGAGTCCTGCAGGACCCTGAGGTGGGCAGTCCCTGCACCTCCCCCAGCCTCACCCCCTCTAGTTCCTCATAGCCTGGGTCTCCAGCTTCTTCAAGCCCCTGTTGTCGGCACAGACGACACTTCCCACAAGGGACTCCCTGCATGTCCACCCTCCACATGGCCTCAGCTCTGAGGACCCTTCCTGCCTAGCTCCCCAGCCCTCCAGCTGCTTCCTGGGCCCAGGACGTCCCCACACTGTCACTGCCTGTGTCCTGTCCCCCAGATCATGATCTGCACAAGGGTGACCTAGAATGGGTACAGAGTACAGGCATCTGTCACCACATGCAGTGGAGCCCCTGGGGACCTCAGGAAGCTCTCCCTCCCAGGAAACATGGCCTATGCCAGCTGGGGTGAGGGCCCATCTCAGAAGCACAGCTCCTGGCGCTGGGAACTGGTCTGTCTCACCTAACACAGAGCTCACTTTCTCACCCACCAGGCGCACAAAGGGGCTTCGCCCAAGCCGTGTGCCCTGACCCACTCCCCAGAGCACTTGCAGCTTATCCGGTACTCAGCTCTCGAAGGTCTAGCCTGGCCCCAGCCTCTCCAGGGCTCCCTGCCATGGTGGCTATGGCTAATTCTCCTGTGTCTGTCTG